CTATGCGAAGGAGTTTGAACAATGACACATGATGTTTGGCTCACGGACATGTTACGCATGCCATGTCATGTTGTTAGCGGTGGCATTTGATACATACATCCTTTGTAATCGTGGGCTTATAAAAAAATACATCTTTTTGTAGGGGATATATGTTTCTCTAATCGATCCCCGCCTAGGATTTCGATATCGAGGATGACCACATATTTTACAAGTGATTCTCTCACCGCCTTCACCCCAATAAATCATGCAACCATTAATGCAATTATGGATCTTTTCAACGGATAAACCCATCATTTTCACCATTTTTTTATACTATAAAAGTCTTCGGCATGCGAGTTATCGGGAAGCATCAATTCTTTCATAAGTTGATATAAGTCATCATAACACCTCTTCGAGAAATGATGCTCGGACTTGAGAAGCAACAAACGAGACATTACCGATAACTGCAAATGATTTTATAACCCGGGCTATATTTCTCTATTTTATGCATCTAATAAATCGTAAAACGATTGTGCAGCGAGGTTTGGGTCTTCGTTTGTATTAGACGGATTAAAAGATAAAGCAACTGCATCCATTATCATTGTGTGATATCAATTAACTTGACGATCATCAAATATTTTTTCTTGCTATAATTAAACGAATTGTCATTAATGACTAAATCATTCTCTCTATGACGTCTCCACACATAATACCCGAGACATGAACCTATATCTCAGCAAATGATACTTAACGGTATAAGGGTTTTCATAACTATGATTTTGATATTTTTTTATTTACATGGACATCGTATCTTATTTTCGTCCACGCACTCGGATGACTAAATGGAAAATTAATAAATTAATTAATTCCTTCTATGAAACGCTCATTTAATAGTCCATCGGTTAATCTAAAGTCAATCCAAGAACGATCCGAATTCAATTTTAAACAAAATAATTTTTAAATTACTAATTAATTTTGTAATTACTTAAAAAACTTTTATTAATAAATCTCCATTTTTTTATTTTTTAGATACTAGTTATTTTTTTAATGAGTAAAAATTTAAAATATTTCTAATAACTTAATTTTTTATGTACTTAATATAATTTCAAAAAAAATTAACTTTTTTCAAAAATAATTCATATTCTAATTACTTAACTATTTACGTTAATGAACAACTAAATAAGGTTAATTACTAATAAATTTTAAATTTACTAAATAAATATATATTACAATTCAAATAATATTTAATTCAATTAATTAATATTTTAATTACTTAATTAATACCTTAACTTAATGAGCAACTAAATAACCTTAATCACTTATTTTTTTTTTAATTATGTACTAAATCTAAATTCAACAAGTATATCTTAATTTTTTTAATACAACTTATTTTTTTAATTACTAACCATTTAAAATATTTCTAATAACTTAATTTTTTATCTATTGAAAATAATTTCAAAAAAATGATATTTTTTCTTCTTAATTAATATTATAATTACTTAAATATTTAACTTAATGAACAACTAAATAAGCTTAATTACTAATAAATTTAAAATTTACTAAATAAACAATATATTACAATTTAATTAATATTTAATTTATTGATTAATTTTGTAATTACATAACACTTTAACTTAATGAACTATTAAATAAACTTAATAACTTATTAATTTTTTAATCACTTAATCACAATAAGTTAAGTAAATTAGCAATTACCAATAACACTAATAACGATAATAATTAAAGTAACAACATAAAATAATAACAATTAAATTTTTTAACTAAAAAAATTAACAATTAAACTAAGTAAATTCACAATTAACAATCAAATTAGTTCAATCAACTATTGAAAATAACAATAACAATAATATTCAATAAATCAAGAATTAACAACAACATTAACAAAAAAAATTAACACTAATTACTACCAATGCATTTTTTTAAACAAATAAACAATCTAAATTAACACATTACAATAATATTAATTAAATCATCAATTAATTAAAAAAGAACAACACATGCAATAAAAAATTATAAGTAATTAAACTAACAAATTAAAAATATTTAATTAAATTATTTTAATTAACTAAATAACTGAAAAAATTAAAAAATAAAAGGAGGGGTTAAATGGAGGTGGACCTTTCACCAAGAGAAGGAGAAGAGGGGTCTGCACCAGTGGAAGCCTTTCGCTAGAGTTGTTTGGCCAAAAAATGGCCGGTGGAGAGATTGAGAGAAAGAAAGAAAATAGGAGGAAAAGAGGAAAGAAAGGGGGATTTTTTTTAGGGGAGAAATGTTAGGAGGAAAGAGAGGAGAAGATTGGACGGAGAAAGTGACAGAGGAGGCGGATCCGAGGTGCTTGTCGAAGGAGAAAAAGAGGAGGTGGAGAGAGAATTGAAACTACCAATTCTCGGGGAGAAGAGGCGACTTTAAAAGGAAAAGGTTTAGCGACGGTCCGAGTCCATCGCTAAACCCGTCACTAATAGTCTTTTTTAAATCAAAATTTTACCGTTTTCCACCAACGGTTTGATTTTACCGACGATCTTCAAACCGTCGCTAATATGATTTTTTGCAATGGTTATTTTTTAACAAAACCGTTGCAAAAATTGGTTTTAATAGTTATTTATTTTCGATTATTTTTTTAGCAAGGGTTTAGCGATCGTCCGGGATTGTCGCTAAACCAAGTTATTTAGCAACGATTTTTTAATAAAAAATCAATGCTAATCGAAAATTTTCTTTTCCATTCTTCTAAAACGAGTTTAGCGACGGTCCACGGACCATGGCTAAATTGAATATTTTTGCAATGGTTTTTTGTTAAAAAGCCGTTGGTAATCGTAATTTTTTTTCTATTCATCTCATTTTAGAAACGATTTAGCGACGGTCTTAGGGCCGTCACTAAATCCAGTTGTTTTTGCAACGGTTTTTTATCAAAAAAGCTGTTGCTAATCTATTTTTAGGATTAGCAAGGGTTTAGCGATGGTATGTTGACCGTTGCTAGACCGAATTGTTTTTTTTGCAATGGTTTTTTAATAAAAAACCATTGCTAATCATCATTTTTTTTTTTGAGTTTTTCTCACGTTAGCAACGGTTTCGCGATCGTTTGTAGACCGTCGTAAAAACGGTCCGTATGTGGGGAAAAAATTAAACCCATGAAGTTAGCAATGGTTTGGTTAGACCGTTGCAAAAAATGATCACAAATGGAAATTTTAGTAACCGTTTTTTGGACCGTCGCTAAATCGCTTAAAACCGTTGCAAATTTTGAAAATTAACAACGGTTTGACCATCGCTAAATGCCCATCGCAAATCTATCTTTTTGTTGTAATGGCTAATTAAGTGTATTTTTAATATTAGAATTGATAAAAACGTAATAGAATGATTTAATTTTAAATAAAAATAATTTGAAAGAGGTCCAATCCGAAATTAAAAGTTGATGAAGAAAATGGTTTTCAAATGACTTAAAATTTAAGAGAAATTTGAAATATTTAGCCATAAAAAAAAAAAACAAACAAACAAACAAACAAACAAACTCATATAATTGGCACAAAAATACAATATCTAAAACAATTAATAAATTTATGTAAAAGTGTTTTATAAAAAATAAACAAAAAATAGAATATTTAAAATTATAGGACTAAATTATAAGCAAAATATAGAATATCTAAAACTATAGTAAATTTCATCAAATTTCCTATATATTCATCACATTTTATCAATTCAACTCAATAAAACTGAATTGTCCGTAAATAATACAGTCTCTTCTTAAATGATAAATTCGTCACCCTTTGCTCACAACTCAGTGCAATATTTGGGTTGATATGACAAAAACTGATGAATAAAAGTAAATTTGATGGATTTTCAACGAGGATTTATTTATTGAATTTACACAAAGGGCTAAATGTAGGGGGTGGTTGTGGAGGGAAAAAAAAAAAAAAAAAGCTCTAACCTAACAATTTTCACATGAAAATTAATGATAGTGTTTTTCATGCTAAAAAATGATAAATAAAGTTTGTTGGAGCAAATTAATCCATGATTAACATCTTTAACTCATTCGGCGCCTGCAATTTCTTTTCTATTAAGGCACCATGTAATTTATACTTGAATTCTTTTTGTATTGCTCTGCTGAGTTAATTTTTTATAGGAAACGTGTGATTTGGTTTTTGATGCATAAGTAGGAAAAAACAATTCTTAATTGTTGGTAAAAGGGCAAAAGAAAGCAGCTGATCAAGTAACAAACAGAAGGAAATGCGGCTACTACGAGGACGTAGTTCGCATGTGCAAACGTTCTGACAGCCGTTGGATGCATCATCAGAGATTCATGCCGAACTGTTCATCATAAATTGTTTATGCTAACAGTGACAACTTTCTCTTTAACCTTTCTCTTTTTCTTTTCTTTTTTGCCTTCGGCAACCTTTGAACTGTTATTTCTTTCTTTCCTTCTTTAAACTCTCATCTTTAATTTCTGTTCTTCCCGATTGCTCAACTCTCTCACCACTCTATTTTAATGCTACATCAATGTTCTTTCAAAGAAATGGTAAAAAACTTGGTTGCTGGATTTGCACAAACAAAACAAAAAAAAAAAGGAAAAAAAAGAAAAACTGAGAGAAATACGACAAAGAACTTTCTTTATTGCATCATTAATACGTTACTGTTTGAACTAACATCAACTAAAGTAACAGTCTCAAGTTTTGTGGATTGTTACCATATGTTGGTAAGAGGAATTTAAGGTTTTCATTAAGGAATTTTCAGAAGAAAGAATAAAAGATCCGAAAAGTACTAACTAAAAAGGAAAAAAAAAAGGATGGTGCGTTGTCATATATGACTTAACTGAGCAATTAAGGGTTCCAAATGGAGGTTGATCGTCATAAACCAAACGAAGTTAAATGCCAAACGCTAAATGAACGTTAATATTACATCCTTTTTAAAAGCAATCTAACGGCTGATATGCGAACGAGCTAGTATTAGCGTCGCTCCATTAAGTAACATTAAAATTAGGTAACAAAGCTGTAGCATCTCAATCTTGATGATCAAAAGACAACGAAAAACATGGCCAATCCAACTACAGCGTATCCGAATGTTTTTGACAGAATTGTTGAGGATTTCAAGAGTAAAGAACTTGCTCCATTCTTGGACTTGGTACGAGGACGAAGCATGTCTCCACCACCATAAACTCCCTTTGCTCTTTGGAAACTCTTCAAATCAACTTCATGCATGACCCCCACAAGCCTTCTCCGTTCACCTTTTTCTTTTGATTCACTCATTGTCTCGTATACATCTGCACAAGAAATAAGGAACAGGAAATATTGAGACATTAAAAAGCAAAACAGCAAACTAACTCTACAATGCCAATGAAACATTTTTGCTAGCTAATCAACAGTATTCAACACTTACTCCGGAGCTGCTCTCTCCTTTTCAATGTTTTGTACTGAGGGGTAACAGCTCCTTCACATGCATGGTATGAAAGAGCTGTGCAGCAAATGATGAGCAACAGCCATGCTAGTATTCCTCTCCTCATGTTATACTTGCTAATTTTCAGCTTTTATTTGATGTTTATGAAGAAGTAGGTGTGGAAAGGAGCAGAGATAAGAGTTGATTGACAATTCAACTGCCTGTTAGAGCTTACTTGCCGCAGATTAGCTCTGCTCGTTTATAAGGTTCCTGTCTGGTGGGCCATCAAAGGAAATATGGGAAAAGGTTGGTAACCTCCTTTTCTTGTAGGGTTTGGTGATGCCAACTTTTACTGTAGCTGCAATAAGATGCTCCTCTTTTTCCTTTTAAAAAAAATTATACGAATAAAACCAGAGTAAATTATAATTTAATTTTTTTAATTTTATAAAAAAATTAAATAATCTCTTTAATTTCAAAAACTAATTACTTAGATTTTTTACTAATACTGATTATGGTTAATTTAATATCATTTTATTTAAAAAATTATATTTTATATTATTTTCCTTTTTTTATTTATTAAAATAAAAAATAACGTCAAATGAACAAAACTAATTTAGTTATAAATAAATTTAAAAACATAAAAACTAATTTAATTAATTTTTGAAACTAGAAACAAGTATTTAATTCATTTTACGAACTAAGGAGACTAATTTATAATTTACTTATAAAAACAAGATGGGTTTTGATATACTAACATATCACAATTATGATACGTGCCTATCTTGTTTCACTAAAAAACCACTTAGACAAGACTTCATCATAGACGGAACAATTGCAACCAACCATCAAAGAACCTCGTAATCAGGTAAAGTCTGGACGATTGATGTAAATGAATGCTTGAATGAAGAAGGAACCACTCATTCCACTTATTAGATTAAAAAAACATATATTTAATAAATATGTCACTTCTTAGTCTGTTCTTATCACACATCGAACATAACTGCAAATGTGTCATTAGATAAAAATATTAAGGAGCAGAGGTTAGAGTTAATTCATAATTTAGCTGCCCATTAGAGCGTACAGGTTGTAGATTAGCTCTACTCGTTTATAAGGTTTCCTCTCAAGTGGGCCGTCAAATGAAATATGGAAAAAAAGTTGGTAACTTCCTTTTGTTGTAGTGTCTGTGATGCCAACTTTTACTATAGCTGCAATAAGATGTTTTTCTTCCTCCTTTTTTTTAACATATATGAATAAAACTAGTGTAAATTATTAAATCATTTATCTAATTTTATATAAAAAATAAAATTTATTTTTAATTTCAAAAACTAATTAATTAAATTCTTTACTAATATTGATTATTCTTAATTTAATATTATTTTATCTAAAAAATATTTTTTTATATTATTTACTTCTTTTTCTTTCTATTTATTAAAATAAAAAATACTATCAAATGGACAAAAATGGTTCAGTTACAAAAAGATTTAAAAACATAAAAACTAATTAATTAATTTTTGAAATTAGAGAAACTATTTAATTCATTTTCCAAAACTAAAGAGACTAAATCGAATTTACTCATAAAAACAAGAGGGTTTTGTTATATACCCACATGATCACAATCATGACATGTGTCTTCTCGCTCCACTCAAAGATCACCTAGACAAGACTTTGCCATGAACAGAACAATCCTCGACCAGCCATTAAAGGACTTCATAGTTAGGTAAAATCTGGACCGATATGAAGAATAGCTTAAACAAATAAGGAACCACTCTTTTCATTTGTTAGATAAAAAGAATAAAAATTTAATGAATGTGTGACTTCTTGAGATATATCCGTCACATAATCACCGAACATAATTACACATACATCATTAGATAAAGACATTCATCTTAAGCAATCTTAAACCTTCAAGTGAACGCTAGAAGCTATTTAACACAATATAAGAGGCCATTCTACCTTTCACTTTATGTAAATTGATCACATCCTTACTTAAATAAGGCTAACACACCAAGTGTTATAAGTTACGCCTTATAAACTTAAAAATAGATATAACACTATAAATCTTCTCCTATTAAGAGCTAAATACAATTAAGCATATTTAGGTCAAATACTTCTCTCCAAACACTAATTTAACCATTAGAGGATCCTCTAAACACTAGAAGAGAACTTATTTTACGAGTACTCTCTATTGATTCAACATACAACTAGTCACGTCAACCATACAATCAATCTAGATTAGAAGCTATCGAACTTTTAATATTAATCAAAGGATCACAGCCTCATCAATGGTGTCGTTTGTAGAAATTTAAGCAAAAAGTCAATCTCAAACTACTTTATTTCTCCATATCTAAGTTTTTTCATGGCTGAAAATTAGAAAACTCCAATGCATTCTATGCCAATCGACTTTCCTAGTCTCAATACTCCAAATCAACATCCTCCAACTAAAATGATATGTCAAATTGCTAACAGAGACGTACATATTGACTCGAGAGGAGAAAAAGTCTTTGATCACTTCATTACCAATGCCTTCTACTCAACAAACACCTCCGCATGCGCCAACTTATAAAGGTTGTTGCCCTACCATAAGTTCTGCTAGATACTTGTTGAAACGAATTAGACCGATACTCAACCAAAGAAGAAACGACCATATATAGTGAAAAGAGGTCAAGAGAAAGGAATGTTGCCATTTTCTAAAACCTCAAAAAAATTACTCTCATCATCGTGGTAAAGAATCAGCTAGCCAAAGCTTTTAGAAAGAGAAAGAGAAGGATGATAAAACCTAATATCGCCACAACACTAAAAGTAGGCATAGCATTGCCTAAAATCAATATAAGTTATAGCATAAGGAAAGCTCTTCCTTTTTTATAACCTTCTCGGTAAGTCTTAAACCCAAATGCCGGTGGGTAAATAAAAGAAGTGTAGTTGTTGCTCGGCCAAAATCATACCATTACAACCATAAGCTCTAACTCTCTTAACTCCCTCCTTGTATTTTGAATGGTAAATTTTCAATGGATTTTTTTGCTAGAAATATGGATCTAGACATGTATGATGGCATAAAAAAATCCTCGAGAACACATATAAAATGTTCAAGAAAATCTTGAGATGGTCATAAAGAGCTCGGATGTCATATGCAAAGTCTTTTTACTACCTTTTAGAAGGTGGTGAAAAAAGTGGAATAACAACTTAGATTTTGACTCGGTATTTAGTTTTGAAAACTTGTGCTTCAAATTTATGGCTTACTTCTCCACTAGCATTTTTAGTAAAAAAAATAAAAATAAAAATAAAAAAAATCTAAAGAGATTTATTCAAAGTCTCCTAAAAAGAGAAAAAGAGCACTCGGGCTTACCTCTTTTACTTTCACAAGAAAACTTTAAAGATTGTTAGCTCTGTTGGAACCATAACAACTAAAGCCTTAATATAAAGGGCTAATGATGACAAATTATAAAAGAAAATTTATGTTTTTCCCAACAAAAACCCTTACCAAGTAAAAAAAAAATAGTGCAGAGCCATATCTAGGTAGAGGAAGTCACTTGATAGGCCCACTCGTGCTTTCAAAAGCCAACAAAGAAAGCAAAAAAAAAAGGTCTCGACTTATCCTCTCTAGTCCAAAAAAAATCCTAAAGGGTTTGTGCATAACTATCTAGTATTCTCGGAACTCCAAAAACTCCATGAATATCTTCTAAATGAAAGTATTCTTCATCATACAAAAAGAGAAATACGTCGACCAACCAAATCCAATGAGAAGTTCTCCACACCTTTACAATCAAAAGAGGTACTACCTTTATCATTAGAACATTAGGCATAATACTAAGAATTGTTATTTAAAAAAAAAACTACAATGGTTGATAATTAGAGAATACCTCAAGTAGTTCATCAAGACAAAAAGGCTCAAACCAAATAGGGCTAACGCCATACAAAATTACTATGAGGAAGATTGTCTCCAAATTAGCATAATTTTTGGCGGACCGATTGCTAAGAAAGAGTCTAAAAAAAGAATATGAGAACTCTCCTAATCCTTGCTATCACAAGGAATCCAATGCCTTAGTATGAGCCTATCACCTTCACTCATGTAGATGTAGAAGGAAACAAATTCCCTCATAATAATGCCTTAATAATTTCAATGATGATCTTTAACCATAAAATTGATCTTATTTTAATAAACCCTAGTAATGTCATCAATGCTTTGTTAAAGAAAACCTCTAACTTAATGAAGATGGAATACTCGAAGTTTCAATAGGTTGAAATTCCTTTGAGATGATAGAATGAGGGTAGGTCTCGATGGAGGGTGCAATTCAAGTCCTAGAGTGTAACGATACACCTCACGTTCATGGTTATAGAAATGAATTTGGTGTATAATGTCATATTTAGAAGGCTTTTCCTCTACGAAATCAATGATGTTATCAACATCTATTGCCTATCCTTAAAGTTTCCTACATTGAAAGGAACGACTATAATAAGAGAAAGTTAGGTCACCGCTCAAAGGTGCTCCTCCTCTAGTATAAAGAAAGTTAGGAGCGAGATAAAATCTAAGACAAGAAAAGGATTAGGCGAGGAAACACTAAGGACTTAAAAATATAAAGAAAAAAGACTAATAGCCGGTCCAAACTCATAAAACAGGCTAATAGATCTTAGCGGCAAGCTTTTTTTCATTAAAAATGTATATTTGTAAACATATAATTAATACGGTATGTTTTACATTAAAATTCATCAATCGAGTACTTTGTCATAAGAATATATAATGTTGTCTTCGTAAAAAATATTACATCCTACAAGAGACCTAGATAATGGTGATTAAGATAAGACATTACCTAGGTATAAAAGCATCCCAATCATCCTCAAGATAAAAAGGATTCTAAAAAATATTGCTAGCAATAAGTGAGTTCTTAGACTTCAAAAAGTTCATGGTTATTACCTTGCCTAGGTATAAAGGCATACCTTGCCTATGTCTAAGGCACCATAAACCTTTTGAGGACTAAAAACTCCATTCACTCTTTTAGATTAGGGTTATTACCTTACCTAGATAGAAATTCATATCTTACCTAGATCGAAAGGCATTACGGTTGAAAAAAAAAGGTATGTAACCGGTTTTTAGTAGGTCAAAAAGTCTATCCCATTTAAGTACAAAAGCAT